GTGGTGAATATTTAGGGAAAGTGGTTTAGTTAGGCTGAAATAAATAGAAAATCGAGATTCAGTCGATCATCTAGGCAAGTGGCGGAAGAAATTCAATTATTAAGCAATATAATTTTTCTAGAGGGGGAGCCAGATATTAACAAACGAAATTTACAAATTATTCGATCGATAAAAATGAAAAAAGAAAAGCAGAAAAAAAAAAGAAAAATTTACAAATAGAAAGAGAAGGGAAGGGAGTATGAAAAGCCATATATATTGATAAATAAATATAATTTTTACGCGTAAAAAAAGAAAAAAACATGTATAGCTTAAGGGGAATTTCATATATTAACTTATGTACATCATAGCATCATATTACAATACTTTTGGGAGGGGAAGAATTAATAATAATAAAAAAAAAGATAGAAATACACATATATACACATATCATCTTTTTTACAAAGTTGGGGGTAAATCAAACCGGTTGGTATTCATCGTCATATAGTTATCAAATTGGCTCACTGGCAATGGAAGCGTACGGTGAGATGCTTCCGAAGACGAGAATAGAATTTCGCTGAGGGTTAAGGTTTGTTGTTGACTTGATGGAGAGGTAATCGGAAATGGCCGAGGTCGAGAAGAGACTGCTGGCTCATATGTCCTTGAACACTCCACTGGAGGTGGGGGACGATCAAATCGAGGAAAATCTGCAAAACACGTGGTTGCTGAGTTGCTTGAGTGCGAGGAAGGAGCGGACGTTGCCATCGCCTTTGTCTTTGCAGATTCCTTCTTCAAAGTACAGGACCGAATGTGCCTAATGAGGTGGCCATGACGGGTGAATGATTTTGTACAATCACTGACAGGACAATTGAAAGGTTTTGACCAATTCGGAGGATTTAGTGAAGTTGATTCTGTGAATATGTAAGTAATGTGTGACGTTGGTGCTCCCTGAACTTGATTGTGCATGTCATACGACGTATTTTTGAATGAAATCGTAACCATCTTTCTATTACGGTTTGAAGTCTTTTTGAACGCGTTTTCATGAATACGCTTGTGTCGTGTCAATTCATCAGACCTTGAGAATCTCCTTTCGCAACCAGTCCAATCGCATTTGTGAGGCTTTTCTCCGGTGTGCGTAAGGTTGTGCCTGTTCAGATGTTCCAACCTATTGAAATCCTTAAGGCATTTGTGACATCTGTAGGGACGAGTTCCACCGCGAGCTCTGGAGTTGGTATTATTGACGGTGGACCGCACGGAATCGTCACTGTCATCGGAGCCAAGTGGTGATGGGTTTTCACTTGACGCGACGATGGAAGGTGAAAGTGGATGAACGATCATAGAAAGATCCGACATTATGTTCGGGTTGATGGGAAATGAGGAAGGGAGTGATGGGTCCGACGGCCTGTCAGTGGTATACGTTGGCAAGCGTAAATGGAAGCCTCAAGTCAAGAACATTCAAAGTATGGAATTAGGTTGATTCTTCATGCTTATATATTATGCGCAAATATACATTACTGGATTTTTTTTTTTTTAAAAAAAAAAAAAAAAACAATAAACTGTGTGTCTTTCATGTGAATTTACTCAATGTTTGACATCAACTAACACGACATATGTGTGCATTTTTTGTATTACTTAAGTGTGTCTGCCTTAAATTGATTATTCTTTAATACCTTATCTTGCTTTTGAATACATGCTACATGATGTATACGATTTTTTTTTTTATTCTGTAAATCCTGTGCTAAAAGTTGGTGGCGGCAATTTAAAGATATGAAGCTTTCCTTCTTGGTATAACCACGTGTACGGTAAGCTATCGCTAAAAAAAATATGTATTCTACCACACGAGATTTGCCTAAAAAAACGATCAAACAGGTGAGAAGCATATTTTAGGTTTTACGTCATGAATACGCCCGAAAATGCCCTTCAACCAATTACTCCGGCCAATCAGACCATAAATGCTAAAATACAAAAAAAAAAAAAGAATATGAAAAGGATAGAAATTCTTCATCTACAGTGAGAGGAGATTACCTGGTTTCTTAGACGAACTGTCAAACCTTATTTGGTTAGACTATTATATATATATATATATATATATATATAATAATATTTTTTTTATACGTGCGTACGTACTACATCCACATCCATACGTACTCGAATCCACGTGAGCGTAACGCGTGTCTGCATTACACGAAAAGACAGGACATTCACGGAGAACCGGTGGTGCATAAATCTAAATATTTGCACATCGTTACATAAGATCCATTGTTTGGTGAACTTCGTCATTAACTAGATGGAAGAGTTGTTATTCTAGTTGTACGTAAACAGCATATTTTAAAACAACCTTGTTAAATGGTTGATTTTCACACAATGTTGTAGATTAAAAAAATAAAGAGTTTTCAATTCCCGGTGAGCTTATGGTGTAAGAGAAACGTGTAACTCTAAAATTTTGTAACCGGTTTGTCATGAGCCGATGTGTTACTTTTTTTGGCAATTTCTATTACATAACTGGGATCTATTTTGAAAGTGACATATGTTCATATACGTGTGTACTATAGTAGATTCTATATGCTACATTCTATACTATGTTCCTATACTGTGTATGCAATGTTATTTGTTCTCATTAATTAAATAACAAGTTTTGGATAATTAGAGATTTTTGTTATTAAACTCGGACGACATTCTGATTTCTAATGCATTCTGTTTACATCACATCAAGGGACCTGAAACCCAACACACACAATCCCACCGCATTTAAACCGCTTCACAGGAGGTTTGCATTGTTTTGTGATCTCGAAGATGTAACGATATACTGTATATTGATGATGTGAACAAAAGGAAAAAATTTTCATCTTAGTCGTACCGTGGGTAATGTCATTCTAACTTTTGATGAGCAAACTGATGCATAAAATACAGTATATGTCAATGAGTATGTATGAGGGTTTCTTATTTAATTTAATTTGCATTTACCTTTCTCCTATTTTGATAAATATTCTGTCAGAACTGTCGATTTTCCGCGCTTCTGTCTTTTCCTCACGCGCAGTATCATTTGCACCACGTGCGCCATCCTGTTCCATGCGTCCAGAAAACTATAATAAATAAAGAAATTCCATGGAAGACACGAGAAATAACAAGTGCATTTCCATCCATTTGCCTTTGCCCGCTAGCATATTTCACCCCGCCTCCTCAACGCACGTTGCATTGCTTGTCATTATTAATAGCTTTCTTTGTGATAACCTACTCAACTTACAAATAAAGAAATTCTCCTCATTTGTGAAGTGTCATGAAAGTGGTCGTCCCGTCGAGATAAAGTGTGACGTTAAAAAAGGAATTAACAAATGGTGCAACGTTGTTACAAAGAATTCCATAAATCTCAACAATGGATATCCGAAACCTGCATTCACTCGCACCAAATTTAGAAACGATAAGGAATTTTTTAATTCCATTTCTGACAAACTCTCACGATGATTCTTGCGGCAATAATGAAGATAAAATGTCGCTACATTCTAGCATTTTTCTTTAACCGAAAGGAATGAAGTGAGATACTGCAAATAGTGTGTACAAATATGGATTAGAAAGGAAGATTAGGTAGGCCGAGAAAATATTTAAGGGTAGATACGATTGTTCCTTATACAATAATGCACGTAGAGCATAATCAACCGTCCAATGATTGGACGGTTGATACCTTTTTTTTTCTTTATATGCGTGACTGATAAACTTGCATTGTTATTGCCGAAAACTTTCTCCGAATGCAGGTAGCTTATTTTGCATATTCTATCAGAGATATTCCATATATCGATTCATACATGAACAATTCCTACTAGTAGTAAGACACGCATACATGAAAGAACATCTGGTATCAGGCATAAACCACAATCATGTACTTACACGAACTGAACCGATATCAGTTACTTTGTTTAATCCGCCACATGCGAACTTATTGACCGTATGTACAAATGTACGTGGCGTATAATATAAGCACACGCACACCATCGTAATCTTTCTTCCTTATTAATACTATCAGCTATGTAGCATATGTATTAGCAATTGCATTCGAGTTAAAATCCCGCGCTTCGCTTTCTGGAATGTCATGTGCCGAAAAATCCTCCAGCTATCAACTGTATCATTTGCGTAATACTTATGAAATTTATTATGTAACCCTTATCAACTATATGTTGTGTTGTCCATTGTATTCGTTGTTACAATTTATATTCTGCATTGTTCTTCGGTCGTTGGATAAATGACAACAATTCGTGCGAAAAAAATGTTTCTCACGTTATACGCATGCCGAAATATCCGAGAAAAATAATACTTTTTTTTTGGTTGTGTGAATGCATTATCTATGGAGCATGATGACATTTATAGGCATCTGGCGGTGATAAGCTATATATAGACTTATGCAAATGTTATCACAATGATTGCTTGATAACCGTTTTTTGTTTCGAAAAAAAAAAAAAAAATTATCAGTCCTATTTCGATTGCCTCTCGAATCTCACCGTTTTTTTATCTTTGTTCACATTAACCTTTTGCATTTCCGTTAAATACGATTGAAACAAAATATTTGCTTATGAAATGTAGCATTAATAACAATGTGTGCTAGCGGTATTGTATTGTAAATTTTAATCGTAAGTTTATTCATCATCTTTTTACAAATGTTTTTTAAAATTTAAATCGATTTGTGATTTTATAATCGATACTTTTGTTTTAAAAAAAAGTTGACATCAATTATAGCTTAAGTTATATCTTATTTAATAGAAGAAATATTTCATAAAATTATATTTGATATGTTCTATAATTTATTATAAAATATTTTTAAATATTATTTTTGCATAAATCAAAATTGATTAAAATCTTAACGATAATTTAATTTACTTTATGCATTATTGTTAATAGATTGTCACGATTGATTATTCTTAAATAATATGAAATTATATAAAATTATAAGTTAAAAGAATATATAAAAATATATTAATATATTGTAAATAGAGTCTTAATTCCATAGATTAAAGTCAAGATATGAATACTGTAATATACTGTATTATTATAGTAACTTTCTAATACTTTAATGAAAGACTTTTTAAAAATAAAAGTTTATTGTATAGATTCAATTATTATTATTATTTTTAACTTACTATACTACTTAAAAAATATAAAAAGTCTATTAAGCTAATTCAAATTAAACAAAACTAAGTCTAAAATATATACTTCAAGTCAAATTTAAGTAACAATTTATATTTATCTAATAGTTTAATACTTGATCTCTAATTACTAAAATTATTACAAACAATTTATTATTATGAATTATTTTGAAAAACAATAAATTGTTAAAGTAACTAAAAAAGAAAGAGAGAAAACAAATTAAGATCTATAGTTTCTGTTTAATATATTTACATTACTTTTAATTAAAGTTCTTCAAACTTTAATCTATTTAATAACTATATAATATATTTTATTTATATTTTTATATTATATTATATTAACTATAAACTATTTTAGTTATATCTTTCTTCTTTTTTTTTTAAACCATAACTGATATTAGATGTAAACTTTTTATTATAATTAACTTAATATTAATAAAATAGAATTTTTTAGATCAACTTATATAAATTATATACTGTATTTTTATTATATATAAATTAATAATAATCTATTATAATTTTGTCTTAACTAAATCTACTATCACTTTTTGAATGAACATGTCTAATTAAAAATCAAATACTCAATACACAATTATCAATAACATGTTTCAATTAATTAATATTGAACTTATAAATTTTTATTATTTTTTTGTTAAACTAATTCAATTATATATACTGTATACCTGTTAATATATATTATATTTGCTAATATTCCCAAATATTATTTATTCAAATCTCAAAAAAAAATATGTCATTTTTTTATTATCACTTACTGTATAACTAATTATAGGTTCTTAAAATATATTATATATAAAATTTTATAGATTATTTATATTTCTTTTTGAAAGACAAAATTTATAACTCATTATTTTAATAAAAACAAAATTCAAGAAATATTATAAATCAAAAGTTTTAATAATAAAGAATAATCTTATTAATATTTTTATAATTATTAACTTAAAAATTTTAATGTTTATTAGTAAGGAATATTTGATTTTTGTTCTTGTCTTTTTCTTTAGAAACCTATTTTTATCTGTAATGTCAAATTAATTTTTATTAATTAATTTTCAATTAAATAAAACATTAAATTAAGATGTTCAAAGCTAGGAAAACAAAAGTTTTTGAAAACTAAAAAAACTCTTTCTGCTGATCCTCTTTTTTTTTAAAAAAACTTTTTTTTAACAATTTTTTAAAAAAAGTAAACCTTTTTAAACACATAAGGAAAAACAATATATCTTTTAAATAAAGCTACCAAGCTTCCGCAACACATATACAATAAGCTATTAGAAACATCAAGAAAAGAGATATATATTGTTTTAATTACTTTTTTTTCTTAAAAATTTTT